CCCAAAAAGATGTGTTTCGACCATCCCGTCACCGAAAAGTCACTTCGTCGTCCACCAAGTGTAGGCAACCAAAGGGTAAGTAATATAATAGTCACCCGGTTTGGAGTGATACCAGTTTTTCCAAGAGACAATTGTCACTCAATAATTAGACATTCCTATTCAGAAATTATCAGAATCCTGATGAAAGAAGGGTAACCGAGATAACCAAACCTACAAGACAAGAGTGAAGGTTGGGCAAAAAGGTTGGAGAATCCAAGAAGAATGATTATATTATTTTTGTGGCGCTCCATATATATTATTTATATTAATTACATCGAATAATAGTGTATCCATCTACTCAAGTATTTAAGTGAAATAGTCACATACTGACGCTATTTCAAATATTTATGCTTATTTATATTTAATCACAGTAATACTAAATATATAATATATTTTATGATATGAGCTACCAAAATAAACATAACCATTTCTATTTTACTATTAAACTTTTAAAAGAATTCTTTATGACATTTAAATAGAGATTCAGATAATTTTCATTGATTCATTAAATAATTTTGTATACTTAACTAAAATGAAATGTGCAAGAAAATTGCAATTAATAAATAATGTACCATCTTTTATTGAACTTTGCTCAATATCTTATACCTCTCTTTATAAATAATTTAATAAAACTAACTATTGCTTAATATAATCAGCAACGTCTATTTTTACAATAATTAATAATGAGTAACAGAGTTATCTAAATCAATAAAAATCTAAAATAAACCCTATCAATAATAATAAGTTATAAAATTAATTTATCACATTTTGAATTTATTTACTAAGAATTACACATTTTCTTTGAGCTCAAAATAAATATTATATGCAGAATGTGAATTATCAATAATAACTCAAATAAAATTTGAGAAAGTATTTTGGTATGCATTGTTTCCCCCTGTAAAAAAAAATATAGAGTAATATATTTGATAGGGTATGAAAAGTATCATAATTCTTACCTTCAACTATTATATTTAGTTTGCATTATTAGATAAAAAATAGTTTATATTATCTTTCTGTCAATGTAATCTAAGTTATTTTTGAAAAAAATTTTTATGTTAAAAATAAACACATACTTTTCAATTCTCGAAAGTGATCTTTAACATATTAATAGGAATCAAAGGATATGTTTATATCTAAATTTTAATTGGCTTTTAAATTTTATTTTAAATCTGGGGTATCTTTAACAGATAATGAA